ATACGACTGGCTGAGGGCAAGAGAATCCTAGAAAGATGCACATGACAGAAGGGTACAACACCACAATCACGTTGATCAGAAAGTGTAACGCGATCACGAGTTGGGGATCAGTACGCCCCGACAACTTTATGCCTCCCCACATCATGTCGCATGACTACCAAAACAATCATGTTAAACGATGGTCCTGGGTAGATTACACGTTCCTATTTTCCCCATATGCAGGTAAGTCCAGAATCACTACTCACATTCAATTTGCTCTTAAGTGAGAAGAACACGCGATCCTCCTGGAGGCCTATCCCCAATGTCCCGGCACTTAGAAAATGTTCCTTGTGGGAGTTTAAAAGGAATACCTGATATTGTTGGTCAGTCGGAGAGACCATCTTTATGCGGTAAGTGTCACTATTCAGGCCGAGATTACATGCCTTGAAATCCTGACAAATGCTTTGCAACTGCAGCCTGTGACTGACGTGATCCATTTCTTGCCTGTAGCAAAACCTAGCAATCACCTGCTGTTGCGGTTGTTCGTGACCCACACACCTCCTCTTCTAGGGGCAGCAGTGGCTGCAGTCCATACTCCCCATGCGCACAAAACAATGGTGTGAGCAACACCAAACTCCTGGACCACACTCGTTACACATCTTCCTTCTTCCAGTTTCCCGGATTCTTTCTCGCGGGAAGTCACCCTAGTGTTGTCTCTGAGACTTGCTGTAATCAAGAACACCACTACATTCCACAGTAACTTCTCCCTGCTCAATATATAACATATATTATATATTACCAGATTAGTCCCCCGTCAACCGCCGGGACCTTCCTTTCCTGCGCAAGCTTTCTATCCTCCGCTATGGTCCCTTCCTCCTGTGACACCAACACCTCGTGGAAGTGACGCGTATGCAACACAATGGTGTTTCAAACAGTAGAAGGGACACAATCATGATATGGCGGTAGACATTTTTCGCCGTCCCCTCCTCATGCCTCGACCTTCTCGTCTCCCACTGCCCTCCAAGCTGCACTCGGCGAGCGA